AGTGCTTTCAACATTGTGTTTCAGCTGATCACAAGATATATCAAAATATAAGATGCAACAAAAAATGCTAGTTTTAAGGTTGGTGTCAGCTATGGTGTCAACAGAGAATGAACTTATGAAAGAAAGATCCTGCAAATATAGCATCTTTACAAGGCATTAACAATTCAACGGCACAAAGATATTTCAAAAAAGAAATCCATGATATTGCATTAGGGACAAGAACCTTAAATAAGTCCATAATTGCGGAAGAGCATACAACTCAAAACAACTAAAATCCAGTACTTGACAAAAAATTCGAAAGCCTACCAAGGAAATTGAGAAGTCTCTACGATAATGTAAAATACACCTAAGCCAAACAGTAGGGGAAGAATGTATGTCCACACTGAAAATATTTTCAATCTCCCATTTGCACCATCCAACTATCAAATCTAAGGAGTGAACACGTGAAAGACACATGACAAATTTTCATCAAGAAAAATGTGCCTAAACTCTAACACCAACAACCAAAATACAGTTACATGTATATCGAAAGCACAACCATTGGACAAATGCTATCGAGGTAATTTCAAGAGTAGTCTATCGGGTGATTAATTTTTACAGTTAATATGAAGTAGAAAAGAGAAAAAGGTGGCAAGGCCTTATGAGAAGATATAAGATCTTCAGACAAATGGGGCTGGGAAAATTGAATATCTTAAAGAGATGGCAAAACCTTATGAGCATTGAGAGGATCTTCAGACAAATGGGCGGGGAATATTCTTGCGTCCAGCTTCGCTCTCTGCTCAGTTTCTGGTAATTCATTTCCTTCTGCTACAAGAATTGAAACTTAACCAAAATCAGTAATCGAACCTCATTCAAATGCCCTAATTCCATAAGAAGGGAGAAATACCGACTTATAACAGAATAAAATCCATTGCATTAAATAAGCTTAATTGGTGCAAATGACAGTTAGATTTAACTAACTAAACATATTTTCAATCAGTGACAGCATATAAAGTAAATCAAGATGTATAACCTCCAATAATATTCTAGAAATATAGGAAAATCATGCCGAAATCTAGTAACATACTGTTGATCACCTTAATCAAATTACTAATATTCACACGCAATTCAA